TCATAAAATCTAGTGCCTGTTTGGGGGGAGCTTTCTGGAGGCTTGAAACGAGCTTCCAAGCCCATGAAGGCCTTTTTAAAAAATGTTGGTGCTGTTTGGGGGAGCTTCCTGAAGGCTTGAAATAGGCTTCCAAACCCATAAAGGCCTTTTTAAAAAATGTTGGTGCTGTTTCGGGGAGCTTCCTGAAGGCTTGAAATAGGCTTCCAAACCCATGAAGGCCTCTTTAAAAAATGTTGGGGTTGTTTGGGGGAGTGTTTGATAAAATAATAGAAAAGGAATTCTAGCAAACGCAAGAGTCTTAAAAAGTCCGTTCAAGCGAAGCTAGGAATATTTGCTTTTAAAACTCATTCATTGGGAAGCCAGACTAATTTTAAGTAACAAATTTTATAGACAAGTTTGCCCCTTTATATTCCCTGAAACTAGCCGATCCATATCACTCCATAGATAAACCAGAACGACTAGAGATTTTGAGAGTCTTATACTCTCATCCAAATTCCAATACTTTGATATTTTTCCTATTTTAACCGTAGGTTAACCTTAAATTTTTAATTCTCAATATCTACTTTTGAAAACCCTAATCTCTCTTAACTTGTATTTCTCTCTCTATGAATTATCTTACACTTGCTAATTGTGTCACCCATCATTTTGTTGTCATATAAAGACGGTTTCCCAACAATCTCCAGAGAAGAATGTCGGGAATAAAAGTTGATTTTATAGTAGAGAGATCTTCTATTTATCAAGTTGTTATTAACAATTGATCAGCACAACAATAATAGAATTATTAATCCATCATCTGCTAATATTTAGTACTTCACCACTTTATTTATTTATTTATTTTCCACTTTTTCATTTTCTTCATTCTTGCTATATGCTAATTCAATTGCTAAGAGGTTTGTACTATTCTACAAAATCTTCCTGAAATTTTTTTTAAGAGTAGATGTTAAGGATAAAATTATCAAGTTAAAATTATGGTAATTGTAGAAGAAATTTGATCTATTGCATCCACCAAACAACTTTTTTCTTTTAAATTTGTATATTGAAAGGCATTCTTCAAAGCCCTTTAGAATAGAAGGAATTTTAAATTCAAATAGCTCCCCCAAACATAGTAGTTTGTCTCCATTTAAGATTACCTTTATAGTTTGTTTTGTAGATGTAAAGAATATTATAATCAAAATGTCATTGCCACTCAGGGCAGTTCTTGTGAATATAGTGGCTGTACTAATTTCTAACAATTTTACCTTAGTATTTCTATGGTTTCCAAGCTCAACCAACCAGCATGAAAGCCTGCATTAGATTAGAGCAAGAGATCGTAATTGACCGGTTCTCTCCTGCCTAACTTTTTTTCTTTTAAATGATTAACACAACGTATTGTCACTGATGAAATTTAATACTCCACTTCAAGAATAATTCTAGAGGTAGTGGAAGATAAATATTAATATGGATAGAGTTATTAAGAAGGATATAACAACGTATACTTTGATTGATGGCGTCAGATAGAATGGAATGGAAAAATAGGATCTATGCAAACTTTACTCATCGAAGTTCGGAATTATCTTCCACCCGTGCCAACTTATATGTTAAATGTATCTGTTTATATATTTGACTGCAGGAATATCTTTTCTACTACCTTATCAGATTGTCATTTATTTGATCTGGGCAAGCTTTTTCTTGCTGAACATCGCGAGTTCTCTAAATTGTCAATTATTCGATCTATATAACAATTGATTTTGAGTAACATCTTAATTTTCTCTCATGGCCATGGATGCATCTCTGATGCACTGAGTTGTATGTATGATATTACCACGAAAACCTTGGTGGAAAGTATCTGATTCTTTACTTAATTGCCAAACTACATCTGTCTAAATGTAAATTTTCTTGTTGTGATAAATTGTAAAATATTCTGAAGTTCTAGCTCAATACGATTTGGGAACTTCTTGCCTCAATGCATGTGGATATTAATCACCCACTCAAAATGACTAAATTGCATATCAAATTTTTTTTTTTGAAAGATAATTGCATATCATTTTTGCTTGTGGGTTACCATCAAATTAAATTCCTAAACCGTTTCGTGGCTAGTTTTAGAGCATAAAACAAAATTACATTCTTTTACTTCTTCAGTGTTTGTTAGAATTCATGAATTCGCAATTGTAAATGGAAGATTCAAGAGCATGTCTAGAATCACATGCATTGAGAACTCATTCCAGAAGTAACACAGTAACTCTGGTAGAGGTGAGATCATTTCTAACTGTAGTATTTTTTAATTTATTTTTGTACCTTTTACTTTAGAATTTTAATTCTTGCTTCTTTGTTTTTTTTTTTTTTTTTTTGTTCCTTTCACTTTCTTGTTCCATTATATTAATTACATTTCCTTCTATTTCTTACACGTTCTTTGTATATATATCTGATCTGGCCTAGTTACACACATCAGTAATAGGATCCTAAAGTGCCAACATTGCTAAATCTATTGAGAAGGATGGCTTGCTCCAAACTTGTAATCAACAAAGGACAAAAAGGTAAAAATAGATGAGACGTGTTTGCTATCAAACTAATGTAAATATGCATTTTCAAAACAGTTAGCTTTTAAATACCGTTGCAAATGGACATAGCATGTTAAGTTTCTCATGTCACTTTTAGTGATTCAGGTTACTCCTTTAAATGTTGTACAGTCCTGTCCTCAATAATGCCTTTTAGTCATGACTTCAGTTATCATATCAAATGGCCACAGCCTTTGAAGCTTTCCATGTCTTTTTCAGTGCTCCAAAGTCGGTCCTTTTAATGCCGTCACACTTTATTATTCAGTAATATTGCCTAGTAGTGGCTTCCAATACACAACACTGATTTGTACCTATCTTGTTGACCCAATGTTTCAAACCAAGGGTACATGAAATATTTTGATGATAAAAAATCATTAAAAGTTTGAATTTAATGATTAATATTGAATTACTTTTTGTACAATCTTTCAGAAATCTCAGGCGTGACTGGGATCGTTGTTGATCAACAATAACAATGTGTAAGAGTCTTAGGAAGAAGAAGAAAACTGATAAGTTAAAGAGCAATAGTTCTTCAAATGCCCAAGCGAAGTAACCAGAGAAGCAGGTTTACGCAACCACGGCTCCTCCTGAATCTGTTTGGGGTTCTTCGGGAGCTCAGCATGTTGAGGAGGAGCCAGCTCCTGAGAATATGAATTTCTTTTGTCCATTGTCAACTAATTATATACAATATATATAGTTTCTTCTTTTGATGGAGGTCATATGTTATTTTCCTTTGAATCTGGTAACATTTGAAGACGAAAATTTTGTTGAAATGTCAGCTTTCTGGTTTGTTTATTGGTTGGTTGGTTTTTTAATGTTAATTTTATGACAGTTTGTTGAGTTGTCCAGAAGTAACATACTCATAATTACATCAAAGTCTCATAATTTCAAAAATATGATCAAAAAACTCTGTTATGAGGTACCATTTTTGGGCATATGTGTATCACTTTTTATGCATACAGGTACCATTTTTTGTCATTAGGTACCACTTTTTGTGTTGTACAAAAAAATAATACATACAAAAAAAGTGGTACCTATGCACAAAAAGTGGAACCTGTGCACATATAAGTGGTACTTCTAAACCCAAAACAAAAGTGGTACTTGATGTATAAAAAAAGTGATACCTATGTGCCTAAAAATGGTATGTCAGTGAAGGTAAACAGTGTTTTTCATTTCTACGTCAGCATTTTGGTCAACTTCATTTTTTTTTAAATTACTAGACTTTATCTCCATTAAATGATAAATGTAAGTCATTAACACCGTTTATTTGTAATAATCATTTTTTATATTTACGAGCTAATATTCCAAAGTCAAGTAAGGGTGTTGAAATGGGAAGAATGTCACGTGATTTATCTTTCTGATTATGGTTGGGATTAGGTGTGACTCCGGTGAGTCACATGTCATTTCATTGTTTTCAGTACTATCATTCTAAATTCGATTGTTTTGGCACACAAATTTGGCACTAGTTTCCCCAAGGTTAGGAATGACAAATCCAACTGCGATGGAGGCAGAGTGGAAGGGAGGTGAGGAATGGGAGATATGGGAAGAGCTTTTTGATACCCTCCTTTGCTTTGACCCCCACCACACTTTAAGCCTCCTAGATGTGGCCTAGTGACCCAGTCTCGTCGTCGTATAGGTAATCGTTTTCCGATATTGGTGTCGGTTTGACAATGATGGATGTTTGAAGTTATTATGGTCGTGCATATGTTGAGGTTTGGTTTGAGATCGAGGAATTTATTTTATTTTTAATTTTTGTTTTTTTGGAATATAAACCAAATTGTATAGATGTAAAACTACTAAACTAGGTCGAGGAATTGTTGGTACAGTCCTGGTGAGGAAAAGGAAATGAAGAAGAAGAGCTGGGTTCCATGGTCATAGTAAAAAAGCAGTTCTAGAGAAGGTTGAATGTAAGGAGAGAGGGAAGGGAGAGGAAAAGAGGATGGCAGCCATCTTTTTCAAAATCAAACTTTCTTAGTGCAAACTTTGAGTTGAATTTTTTGTTTTTCTTTTTAATAAGGTTTTGTATTGATCGAATACTTACTAAATACTAACTAACTTAGTGGGGGATCAAACCAACGGTCCAATGGTATCAGGCCACACCACTACTACTTAAAATGAGGTCCAGTGTTTCAGCCTCCCTAAAAGCAAAGTGCGTAAGTAAATTGCCATAACTTTTGCGGTAGATCAAATTTTATATCCACAAAATTATTTTTATTTAGTATAAAATTAAAACCATAAGATGCCGATGAATTTTATGGGTTGTGAGGCCAATGTGTGTTAGCCACGACAGTACTAAATTTCATTTGAAAAGGATGGTTGTTGGTGAGGGTTTGTAGGGTGGACATGGTGGTTAAGAGATTTGAAGTATTAAAGAAAGTGGACATGGTAGATAGGATGTGAGGTTGTAAGCAAACCAGCCATCCATTTTTTTTTTATCTATCAGCACTTCACAACCCCACGAGCAAAGCGAACCTCATATGTTTCCTTCTTTATTTTCCTTGTTTAATTATATTCTTCTACTCTACTCCACTCACCCTTATTTCATCTACTCTCTCTCTCTAGACTAATGATCATGTAATCTTGCATGTCCTCTGTCTTTCTCTACAGATATATATATATATATATATATATATATATATATATACACACCAATTGGGAATGGTTGTTAGGGTTTCGGGAAAATCACATGCACCATTGTTTTGACTTATATCAACCGTGAGTCAAAATTTCTTTCACGTGCCAAAGGTAGCAGATTATGAAAGTTTCACACGTTTGAACCCTTGAAGATCTTTTATGTTCTCTATAAAATCAGCTTTGAACCCAGAATTAATGGATTAAACTGAGTTCAAGTTACTGACACCACGTACTTCTTTGTCGGTCGCCATCTCATCTTCTGCTAGGGTTTTGCCAAAGGTTGGTTCTTTTCCATCTTTTCTAGCTTAAGTACTTGGACTTGTTTAATTTTATAGTCAATAATATGATTTTTTATTTTATTAAATTTTTTTTTTTTTCAGATGGTTAATTTGGTTTGCAAGAATTGTGAAGTATTACAGTATATGGTGAGTGGTTTTCCTTGCTATGCCTTGTCAAGTGAACAGTCTTTAGCTGTTAACCTTTGTTTCGTTGTCTGTTCGACCTGAACTTATGGTGAAAACCCTAGTTAGAATTAGTATGACCTATAATAAGTAGTCTTGCTTTATGAAAATACAAATAACAATATTGATAAATAAATAAACTTTGATCAACCTCAATCAAACTTGAGTCTGTGTCTTTCTTTCTCTAGTATCAATATCATGCTATTAGCCCTAGAATTTTTGGTGTATATATATGTGTGTTGTGTGATATATATGTACTTTTGGTTTACATATATATATATATCTTTACCTAATAGTTAGTAAAAGTGAACATCTAGGTAGATCATGTTGCCACTTTGGAAGTTTTCTTATGAAAATTAGAAGTTTTCTTATTAAGATTAGAACATCTAGGATTTTTTTTTTCCTTCTGCATATTTTCACCCATTATATAGGTTCGTACATATATATATAATAGATATATTTAATCTCAATCAGAGTCATATCTTTTAATCTAGATCTGCTAATAAGCTTTATCTTTATTATGTATAAAACTTTTAGAATGTTCTGTAAGAAGAAGCTAGGTTCATCTATACAATTTGATGATACTTTTATGGGGATAATATTGTCAAAACAGTGCAAGAAATGGATTGAGGGTTAGAAATAATTGGGGAATATAAATATGGCTTTAGATTTTATAAATGAGCAGAGAAAAATATTTCTACATATGCTATGAAGCTGGGTGAAATTAGAGTACCCAAAATATATATAGCCATCTCAATCCGATCATTGAGGCATGCATAATTTTATGTAATGTTTAATGTTTGTATATAGAAGGCAATATTGCAAATAAAAAATGTTTCTTTACCGGCTAAATTAAAGTCCACTCTTCTGAGTTATATAGCATAGTTACATTATGTACCTTCTGTCGATTTAAATTACTTTTACCCTCCAATTGTTATTAGAAGTTAAGAGGGAATGTGGATTTACCTTTTTACCCCGGCGGTCTTTATTATTTTGGTTGAGAATTGAAGTTACGAGGAAATCTAGTATTTTATAATTTGATTTTGATCATAAAGGCAGGTTCCATCTTTTTATTTTGTTGAATTAGGTTCAAGTAAAGGGGGGAATATGTTACAAAATATTAACAATCTTGGGGAGATTAGTGAAAATTTTAAATTACTAAGGGACATTAATATTTATATCTCAAGAAATGAGTGTAATTTACTCTCTTTCTCTCTCTCTCTCTCTCTCTCTCTCTCTTTTCTTTTTTTTTTGGGTTAGTAAGTTTTATGGTTACAGAACTGTCGAAATAAATTGAACTCTGACAAGGAGAAGTCAAACAGAAAGGAGGAATCGCATCAAGCTGGACAAATAGTGGAATGACATGATGAAACATGAAGAGCTTTGGTTGGAGGTGTAATAAAGGAGTTAGTAATGAGCCAAGTTGCTCGATCTTGTCTTTGAATGTACATGAACTAAGCCTTAGCCTGATGGAATTCAGTAAGAGACTAAAGGGAGGAAGATATGCTTATGAAAATTCTATTGTTCCGGCACTCCAACCAAATAGCAATGAAACAAGCTGCAAGGGCCAATCTGTGAGTTAGTAGAGATAGAATTCTGCCGGTATGTTAGAGGGAACCCATGAGATGAGGTACATTGGTGTTGAAAATGTGACCAAAACAATGAAAGAGAAGATGGAGTATGGGATTCCATTTGCTAAGAGGCAAAGAATGCAGGTTTGTCGAGGGTAGAAAGTTTTTAAGGGATACAAGCCACAGAAGGAAGTTGTGGTGAGGGATGTGAGATTTAAAGCATACAATGTGCTAAGGTGGGTAAGGATGTGGAGGAAAGAAAAAGAAAATGAAGGAGTACGTGGTGGAAGATAGCTAGACAAAGAAAGGTGGCAGAATTGAGGGGATTAATGGAAGGGACTAGGGACGAGAGAAATGTCTCTCAATTCTGGGATAATTCAAGCTATGCCAGTAGGAATTGTTAATTGTCCATTTTGAATGACAAAGCTTACACATATATATATGTGTGTGTGTAGCAATAGAGCAGCTCAAGGTAGAAGATTGTAGATTCTAATGTGTAAAAGGACCTAGCTGATGCAATGAATCAAACCAAAAAGAAAGTATCAAGCCCATTATCATTTTCTTCCGAGATAAGAGGGGCTAGCTAAAAGCCTGAGCTGAAGTAGTTTACTCAAAGTTCAAGAGTAGTCAGTTCGACATTTGAAAACCTAGAAATTTCTTCTAAGCTAGTCCGCTGAAAATTTCGGATTAAGGAGTAGTTGATTCATGAGATGATACTTTTAGGGATAATGAAGGTACTCATCCATTAAAGTTGATTGCAATAGAAAATGGATTTGAATGTTGTAACTAGGTTTGAATAATTAGAAATTTAAAGTGTTGATGCTATTTTGGGTTAAAAAAGTGAGTCCCGCGTGGGTCCACAGTGGAACGTAATTCTTTTTAAAAAAAAAAATTATTATATGGTTCAAGATCATTAATTCCGACCAATCATCAATTGGTACTAAACAAAAATAAAATAAAACACTTACACATTTACTTGTCAATCGGTGATTGGTCCGGACCAATAGTTCTGAGACCCTGTAATAATTCTTCCACAGAGAATATATAGATAATTTGGAAGTATATTTATTTGTTCAAAATAGTTTCTAGGCGAATGAGATATTGTGCCTCAAACAGAAGTATTTGACAAGCGTGAAACAAAATACTAAGTAGATGAGTATGTATGAAAGTGTTGTCCCTGAATGGAATCTAAAGAAACTTTTAATGGGTATATTTATAGATATATGTAAATAAGAGTTCACAACCAAAATGGTATTATGGGCATGGCTTTGACTCAATCAAACTACACATTTAACTAAATATTACACGTTGGGCCTGTAGTTAAATGTGTTAGTTAACTAAATATTACACGTTGGGCCTGTTGTTAAATGTGTTAGTTGGCGATGAAATTCGGGTAGGTGCGGGTGGGTGGTTACCCATACATCCAAACGGGTATAGGGTGTGTTGATTAACCCATTATGGCTCAAAATGGGTCAGATAAAAGGATGCAACCCATACATCCGAACGGGTACAGGGTATCTTGATTAACCATTGTGGCTCATAATGGTTCAGATAAAAGCATGCAACCCATGCCCCTTCAGGTTAGACCGAATAGGCACCTCTGGGTCTATAAATACCAAAACCCCATTTGATTCATTCATTTCCACAAATTCTTATGTCCCTCTCTCAACGTGAACAAATTGATTTGGTTATAGCGATGGTCGAGTAGTCCGAGATCCAAATCAATGCGGTCAAGCTATATAGTCTTCTGGTACAACCAAATGCTTCGTTGAATCCAATTCCTTATTTTAGCAGTATAGGTGTTACTTTGAGTCAGAAAGTATTACACAGTATGGGTTTGCTAGTTCCATTGGTTTGGAGTGCAGCTACCGGTTAAGGGTGGCTGGAGCCTTAGGCGAGTTAGGCAGTTAACTAAAGCCCCATCCAATACGTAGGTCCCACAATTTTTTTTATTTCTTTATATATTATAACTTTCCTAAAACAGTTATAGTATTTCTTTTAATTATTAAACTTTAACATAGAAAAATTTGACAGTTGACCTAAAAGATTTTTATTCGATCTTCATTTTTTTTTTTTTTGAGGGGCTCCCAAAATTTTTTTCTTTATATATTATAACTTACCTAAATATTTTATTTTCTTATATTATTAAACCTCAACAAATACAAAGTGTGCCCAAAATATTTTTATCCTTGTATTATTATAATTTTTTTTTTTTTTTTTTTGCTCTCTCTCACCCTCATTACATTAGCATATATACAGACACTAAATGTTAAGTATATATTTAAATGAAAATTGGTGAAACTTTCTATATTTTTCTAAGACTCCTATTAACTTTTATTTTCTCTTTATTTTTCTTACTCCTTATATATTTTTTCTCCTCTCTCATTATAATATTATTTATTTATTTATTTATTTTTCATCTTCTCCACTTTTACAATTTACAATCTCACATATCTCACCCAGTAAAATTTTGAATACACTTATATTCTATTAAAGAATTTATTAGAGTATTATACCAAATTATTCAAAATCAGTTTCTATTATTCTATAACTTAAATTAGTTTATAATTTTAGTAATTTTTATTATCATAAAATTATATTTTTTTTTTATAATTTTTATTTATATTGTTAAATGTGACTATTAGAAAGCACATGGCCAATTAATTAACAATGGAACTACAATTTGGAAAAAATTTAGTGATAGGTTTAAAAATCACAAAATAAATAATTAGCATAATACTGACATAAATATATAAGTAGATTTAATTAAAATGCCACTTTATTTTTTTCGCCTAAGGCCTCAGATAACATTGAGCCGCCCCTGCTACCGGTGGATGAAGACACTGTTGTATCCTTGAACACAAGTATTGTAAAGACCGTTTAACACCATATTATACGGGGCATAATTTGTCTTAAAGACATAGTATCTTAAACTCTCCTCAATTTAAGTTCCTTTTATATTTTATTTTTTTATTAATAATATTGTTCTATCATTTTATTTGTATGCTTAATTAAATAGTTGAGTTGAATATTTAATAAATAAGTAATTAGTATATAATTTAATTATCTCATAAGTATATTAGTATAAGTTTTTTTTTTTTCTTTTATCTTAAGTAATATATGAAGCATATATTTTTCAACATTGGATAACCACTATCTACCAACACAGGAAAATAGTTAACAATGACTAACCGAGGAAAATTATTTAATCAGATAGCTCAGAAGTGATAATAACTGAAGAGGTTCCAACTGATATTGTAGCAAGTCACAGTTAGAATATGTGAATGAACATTGTCTACAACATAGGTTAAAAAGTTCCAACAATGTGAATATCAACACTGATATGGTGGTAATACGTTACATACAGAGTAGTCTGCAGTGTTTTAACGTATTATGAAAGGGATACGTTATAACAGGTGTGGTTGGTTAAAATGATGAGGTGTATATAATCTGAATAGATATGAGTTATATTCAAACCAACCATTGCAACCCATTAAAAGTGGTTGTGTATGTTGATGAATGGACACTACCAACCATTGCAACCCATTGGGAGTGGTTTGTGTATGTTGACGAAGGGACACCACCAACCATTGAAACCCATTGGAAGTGGTTGCGTTTGTTGACAAAGGGACACCACGTTTCCTATAAATACCCCCTTGGGGCCATTTGCAAAATACACCAACTCAGAATTCTTCTTTATGTTTTTGAGTTCTCTGTTTCTCCTTTCTTCTTTTCACTTCTTTGCATACACATAGTGTTAATGTGTGAGTTTGAGTCTGGTTTAGAGAGAGAGTACTACACCGAGCTGGTTTGCTCATTTCTTCGGTTTGCAGTGCTGCTACCGAAGAAAGAAAGGTCATTGTATCCTAGGAGATAGAATCCAATTCTAAACTCAACCAACTAACAAGTTCTTTTTTATAGTTTTATTTTATTAGAAAATTATATATATATATTATTGTTCTATAATATATATATATTATATTTTCATATAATATTTAAATAGTAATACTGTAGTATATGGTACACTTAAACTATTTTGGACAACAAACTTAAGACAGATTTTGTTTTACTATAGTATTGTTTTTTAAATATTATTGTTGGTATATCAAATTTTGGTAAATTGAATTGCGGTCTATATATTTCATATATAACAGACGAATGACAAGTATAAGTACAACTGTGCCTAATGTTAAACTTAAGACAGATTTTGTTTTACTATAGTATTATTTTTTAAATATTATTGTTGGTATATCATATTTTGGTAAATTGAATTGCGGTCTATATATTTCATATATAACAGACGAATGACAAGTATAAGTACAACTGTGCCTAATGTTCCCGTCAGTCATGGAGAAAAGCCCAAAAAATTTAATAGGGCGGAGTGTAAAAGGTGGCAACAAAAAATGATATTCTACCTTACAACTCTGAATTGAGCAAGTTCCTAAATGAGACTGCCCAATGCTATAAGAGGGTGAGACTGACATTACAAAAGTAGGAACTGTTGATGCATGGAAGTAAGGAGATTTCCTATGCAAGAACTATATCTTCAATGGATTAGAAAACACGTTATATAATGTGTACAGTCTGATCAATACTGTCAGAGAGCTATGGGAGTCACTAGACAAGAAGTATAAGACTAAGGATGTTGGTTTGAAGAAATCCGTTGTTGGACGATATATAGACTTCAAAATGGTGGACTCCAAGACTATTCTTAGCTAAGTGCACAGTTGATCCTACATGAGATACATGCTGAAAAGATAAATTTGAGTGAATCTTTTCAAGTGGCTTCAATCATTGAAAATTTGCCGCCTACTTGGAAAGATTTCAAAATATACTTGAATCATAAGCATAAGGAAATGGGGCTTGAAGACCTGATTGTCAAGCTGATGATTGAAGAAGATAACCCCATATCTGAAAAGAAATTTGGGAATTCTTTAATGGTGTCAAAGGCAAATGTAGTGGCGCAAAAAAATAAGAAGAGGAAGCACTCTGGACGAGGTCCTAGCCAAGGAAACTTCAAGAGGCTCAACAGGAAGTGCTATATATGCGGTAAGCAAAGATACCGAGCTAAAGACTGTCGTAACCGTAAAACACAAGATAACTCCAAGAAGAAGACCAGTGAAGTGAACATCACTAAGGAAGATAAATTGACAAATGATGTGTTAGAGCTAAATCTTTCAGCTGTGGTTTCTGAAATCAACTTTATGAGCAACAATAGGGAATGGTGGGTGGACATAGGGGCTACTCGTCATGTTTGCTCACATAAGAAGATGTTCACTACCTGTGAGGCTATAAATCATGGAGAATAACTTTACATGGGAAAATCTTCTACTTCTAAGGTTGAAGGACAAGGAAAGATTAAATTGATGATGACCTCATGAAAAGAACTCAATCTGAATAATGTGTTGCATGTACCAAACATCTAGAAGAACTTGGTCTCTAGTTCACTCCTAAGCAAGAATGGGTTCAAGTTGGTCTTTGTTTCTGATAAGTTTGTGCTTACTAAGAATGTGGTGTATGTGGGCAAAGGGTACCTAAGTGATGGATTGTTTAAATTCAATGTAGTGACTATTGTACCCCAAGCTATTAATAATAATAAAGTTAATGCTTTTTTTTACATGATTGAGTCATCTGATGTGTGGCATGGTAGGTTAGGACATGTTAATTATGATACAATTCATATATTAATTAACATGGATTCTATACCTAAAGTTAATATTGATTTAGATCAAGTGTCAAATATGTGTAGAGGCAAAATTAACTAGAGCCTCATTTCACTCCATAGAGAGAAGTACTGAATCTCTAGGATTAATTCATAGTGATATTTGTGACTTCAAATGTGTACCAACCAGAGGTGGAAAAAAGTATTTTATTACTTTTATTGATGATTACATAAGATATTGTCATGTATATTTGCTAAGAAGCAAAGATGAAACCTTGGAAATGTTTAAACATTACAAGAATGAGGTTGAGAATCAACTTGGCAAAAAGATAAAGGTATTAAGAAGTGATAGAGGTGGTGAATACGAAGCACCATTCACTGATATTTGTTTAGAACATGGTATTATTCACCAAACTACCATACCTTATCACCTCAACAGAACGATGTTGCTGAATGTAAAAACCGTACCTTAAAAGAAATGATGAATGCTATAATGATAAGTTCTAGTTTAACCCAAAATTTGTGGGGGGAAGCTTTTCTTTCTGCAAATTATGTCCTCAATTAAATACTTTAAAAGAAAACTAGTATGACACCTTATGAATTATGGAAAGGTCAAAAACCTTCCTATAAATTCTTAAAAGTGTGGGGGTGTTAGCTAAGGTAGCAGTTCATACTCCTAAGAAAGTTAAGATATGACCTAAAATATTTGATAGTATTTTCATAGGTTATGCACATAATAATAGTGCATATCATTTTCTTGTACATAAATCAGACATTATTGGCATCCATGTCAATACTATTATTGAGTCGAGCAATGCTTATTTCTTTGAGAATATATTTCCTTGTAAAGATTTACAAGATAAAAATCCTCTTAAAAGAAATCATGATATTGCTAATAGCAATATACAAGAGGACATAGACCAAGAGTCTATAGACAATGAAAAAAAGGATGAACTTAGACGTAGTAAGAGAGCTAGAACATCTAAGTTGTTTGGTCCTGATTTTCTAACATATATATTGGAGAATGAGCCATAAAGCTATAAGGAAGCTATATCTTCTTCTGAAGCTCCTTTATGGAAAGAGGCCATTAATAGTGAAATTGAATCCATCATACAAAATCATACTTGGAAACTGGTGGATCTTCCTCCTGGTACTAAACCTTTATAGTATAAGTTGATTTTCAAGAGGAAGATAAAGCCTGATGGTTCAATTGATAAATATAAAGCCAGGCTTGTTGCTCAGTAACTTGTACAATGCTCATTCACTTGTGTACCAGTGTATGTACAGTCACTCACAATCTCACATATAGAGGCACTGGCAAGTGCTCTATTTCACTCATTCATATGCATATATATATGTATATATGCTCTATTTCACTCATACAAAAACATTAGTTCAAGTGCCGTGTTTCACTCATACTCTTTCTCACTTGTAGAAACAATATATATACATATATATGCTCTATTTCACTTATGCAAAAACATTATTCAAGTACTCTATTTCAGTTATACATTACAACTTGTTCAGGTGCTCTATTTCACTCATACTCTTTCTCACTTGCAGAAGCACTGGTGATTATGATCTATTTCTCTCACACTCAACTCTTTTTGGGTCCTGGTTTAACCACTCCATCACCTAGTTTTGCTCTCTACACACTTGAGTAACCACTTCATGTGCTCTGTTTCACTCATACTCTTTGTCACTTATAGAAGCAATTTATATACATATATATGCTTTATTTAACTCATGCAGAAACATTAGTTCAAGTACTCTGTTTCTTTAATGCATTACAGCTTGCTTAGGTGCTCTGTTTCATTTATACTCTTTCTCACTTACAGAAGCACTAGTGATTATGATCTATTTCTCTCACACTCAAGTCACTTAGAGTCCTAGTTTAACCACTCCATCACTTAGTTTTGCTCTCTACACACTTGAGTACTGATTTTTGTACTCACACTTAAACTCACATTAGTGCACTAGTGTTTGCACACTATAACTCACACATACTTCCAACCATGTGGATCTATAATGGAAGATACACAAATTAACAACCCACCATTTTCGTCTATGGTTGTGGAGGTTAATATGATTAGTCCTCTTAAGTACAATACATTAAGGAATAAGGGTTTTTATAGCCCTTTGGAAATTCAGACAGCTGATATGTTAGGGGGAAAGTGTTTTGTATGAATTTTATAATGTTGGTGTGTTTGGAGGAGGTGTTTAGTGTAATATGCTTGTTTGAGAAATGTAGTGTTAGTGTAAGATGACTTTAAGAGGCATATTATATGATGTGTATTATGTTTTATGTGTCGTTTCTGTGTTATTGAGCGTTTAACTCATTTCTAAACTTACATCTCAATTCAAATAAAGCTGATACATTAACACAATTCAAATATATAACTATTGGAGTCAAAATCTTAAATCATTTTATGTTAGTGTGTGTTCGGTGGAACAAATGTGAAGTAAGCTGATAGAAAGCTCTATGACTTATGTTGGAAAGTGGGGAGGTCAGGTTAGCTAATCTGGGGAAGGTGCAAAAAGGAAGCTTCTCTTGGAAGCTTTAGTCAGTAATGAACTAGGTGTGAACTAACATTGAACTGATAGAAGAGGAACCTCATAAGGATAGTTCCATGTAAGTTTCGTGTGGCAATATATATATATATATATATATATATATATATATATTCTCATAAAGATGTCTTGGGTTATGAAATAAAATGTTGTATTTTCTCTGTAACATGCCTATGTGCGTGAATCCTTATACAAGAGCATGGAGAATTATTCAGATGAATAATCTTTGGTTTGACTAAGCAAACTTGCTCTTAAGGCTTGTATAATGACAATTAAAATCTTCTTCAAGAAGACTGTATTGAGGATGAACTAAAGGAGTGAGAAATCCAGTTTATGTGTAAATTTATGAGGACCTAAGTTGTATGTTGTGAATGTATGAAAGCTGATGGCATGTTTGGTTAAGGGAATGAACTTTAAAAATGAAGTTAATCAACATAACTTTACATTTAATCTAAAAAATCACCCAATTCTAACTTACCCAAGTCTTGATCATCAAATGTGCTTTCCAGCATTTAGTTAATTATCTCAATACTTGAGCATGTCGGCCAATAGAGAGAAAGGAGACTAATTATTTAAAGCCGTAGAAGGCATACGATTAATGAGATAACAAGCAGTAAGAACTGCATTAGCCCAAAACTATTTTCGAACCTGCATATTGAATAACAAGTTTTGCGCGATATCCAACAAATGGCAATGCTTTCGTTCAGCAACACCATTTTGTTGAGAGGTGTGAGCACAACTAGTCTGATGTAGGATACAACGATCAGCACAAAAGGAATCCATGATTGACTGTGTATATTCCAAAACATTGTCAGATCGAAGAATTTTAATGTGTTTACCTACTTGAGTAAAAATTTCATTATAAAATTTAGCAATACTACGAGGATTTCATCTTTCATAAAAAATAACCATGTCATTCGAAAATAGTCATTAACAAATACAACAAAAGAACGAAATTCATTCAAACTAGTGGTTCGAGAAGGACCCCAAATGTCCTTATGGACTACATCAAAAGACTCAGTTTCACGACTATGACTATTACTAGGGAAAGAACTATGG